GCTGCCTTTTGAAATCTTCTATTCAACTCTTTAGTATCTTGAATTCTTCCTTCTGCTTTGGCTTCTCTGCGCTCCAGTGCAATTTTTGGAGTTTCTTCTGACATCCATTTTGATCTTCTCTTCCTGTTCCGTCTTTGCAATGAACTTTTGCACTCTTCCTGGATGATACCCTTGATATCCTCCCATAACTCATCTGGTTTTCACTCATTAGTGTTCAAGGCCTCAACCCTGTTCCTGAGATGGTTCTGAAATTCAGGGGGGATAGACTCAAAGTCATAGTTTGCTTCCAGTGGATTTGTTTTAATTTTCCTCAGCCTCAGCTTGAACTTGCATAGGAGTAGTTGGTAGTCTGTTCCACAATCAGTTCCTGGCCCAGTTTTCACAGCTGATATTGAGCTTCTCCAGCGGTTCTCTCCATAGATGTAATCGATCTGATTCCTATGCATACCATCAGGTGAAATCCATGTATATAACCTCCGTTTATGTCTCTTTAAAAAAGTATTTGCGATGAGTAAGTAATTGAATGTGCAAAATTCGACCATTCTCTCTCCAGCTCTGTTTCTGCCACCAAGGCCATGTTTTCCAACTATTAAATCTTCTTCTCTGTTCCCAACTTTTGCATTCCAGTCACCCATTATTATCAATAGGATTATACCCAGGGAAATATTACAGATACTTCTGAGACTCTTGGATCCAAAATTCTACCACTAGGTTACCCTCACGTCCACACCCTTTATTTTATTTAATTGGAATTCTTTTGGAACATGAGAATCATGGAGCCACTAATGTTCGTCTGAGTCAGAGAACCCGAAAATTGTGCCCATCTCATTCTTAATCAACTTAACTACAGTGCAATGTATATGTAATAAAGTATACAAAATATAAATACACACTTCAAGAAATTTTTATTAGTTTAAGTACTTGTATTGCTAACACAACCACCAAAATGTAGAACAATTCCATTACTACTCATGACCCTTTGTCATCAATCAACTGCAAAGCCTCAAATAGTCACAGAACTGTTTTCTGTCACTAGAGATTACTTGTGCCTCTGCCAAAATTTTAGATAAGTAGAAGATGTGCTATGTGCCCTTTTATATCCAGCAATTTATATTTCACATATGTATTTTTAAGGTTTATCCATGTTGTGGCAAATACTGATCATTTATTCTTTTTGAGGTTTGTGGTCATTTATTAGATTTGTTGCTAAGCAATATGGCAGTAGGCGAGTAAACAGAAGTTCTCTGTCCAGTCACCTGTTGATGGCACTTGGGTTATTTCCAGGTCAGAATGGATACAGTCACCTCATTTCAAAAAGGGACATTGTCAATCCATAAGAGCCTAGCTTGTTATAAATCATATAGGATTTAAAGTCAAACACACCTAGGTGTGACTCTTAGCTTGGTTCCAACAAAGTTGACCGTGATCTTTGAAAAGTGACCTAACTTCTCCAAGTTGAGTCTTTGTTTCCGTAGCTGTTTTCAAGAATGGCAGATCTTGTCCTGCCAAGATGTCTTCAGGATTAAGTGAAACACATACTAAGTGTCCAGCATAACGTCTGACAACAGAAAACACTCAAATACATGTTATTAAACGGTAATGACACCCACCCACCCACCCCCAGTTTTGCCTGTGGGATTCTGCTCTCCCTGATTGGTTTCCCTGACTTCTCCTCCATTCTTCTACTCTGCCATCCTCTCTACTCCCTGGGCCTCCCCACATGACGCCCAGTGGGAACTCAGTGAGGAACCCAGACAAACTGCCTGTACCTGCCACCCGCTTCAACACCAGTCCAGTAGACAGTCACAACACAAGTTCCCCGGACCTCAACCCTCATCTTGTCTTTGTTCTAAAATCCTTAGTGAGAACCTCCTGTGACTTAAGAGCCAGCACAGGACATGAATGAGGTAGACATGCCGTCATAGTGTTTATATTTAAAGGAAAAATCAGAGAGAGAAGACGACACATGCTCACCATGTACTACCACTTGTGTTGATTGCCTTTGAGTCGAGCACGATCCACTCATAGGAACCCTATGAACAAAAGGCCTGAAGCCTTTCTATTACTATCAACATTTATCAAAGTTCATGGAGTTTCTGGAGGCATGTAGTTTAAGAAGTGGCTACCACTCTTACTTCCAACTAGTCCTCTGAAAAACAGATCATTTCAAATGTGCTTGGAGGGTCAAGCCTCTAAGAAGATACGACATTTGGTGCAAACATTTATGAACAAGTAAAAAGGTTCCCTTTCCATAGCAACTTTGGAGAGTTGATTCTCAAAACTCTTGTTCAACCTGAATCGGATTTCATCAGTAACCCAACTTCAAGGAGGTCCTCCAAGGTTTGGAGGTGTTCATTTGTAAATGTTCTCTGGCAGACCCTCACACATACAGCAGCACCCTCTTACTAACTGATACCTGTGCACACTTTCTTCAACTATCTAAGGCCTGGTCTCTGGAGCCCTGTCTAGGAGAACCTGCTGGACCAGAATCACACCTGCCCCACTCCTTTCTGAACCCCAGAGCAGCCCCTCCAGTTCCACAGCTCCTATGGTCACCATGATGTCAGACAAGCTCCCACATTGCCAGCACATGATGAGAGTGAGTAGCGTGGAAAGTGAAGGTGACTATAGTCCTGTGATAATAATAGCAATGTATGGTTCTACATCACATAGCCTTCAGCTAGCGCTTTCCTTCCTATTACCATACTCTGGAGTGTGAGGAAAACAAAGAGAGAAAGTGAGAGAGAAATTTAGAAAGACTTAAAGAAACAAGGTAAGACTCCAAGAGATACAGAAAGTAGGCAAGATGTAGGGGTGTGGAGATGAGGGAAGAGTTAAATGAGGGCGGAACTGTCTGTCCCTCCCAGCCTTGGCCCTGCAGCTACCACAGAAGCTCAGGAAGGTGATGGAGACAGTCTTCCCTCAGCTCTCACTGACTGATAGGAGTCTAGCTGAGAGTGATCCTCTTCCCTACCTTTGTTTCCAGACCAGGATCAGAGAAAACAAGAAACAGCAATTGCGTTTCACAGCACCCATCCCTGTCTGAGAGGTGGAGGCTCCTCTGGACAGGAGGAGTTCAGGCAGCAGTAGAGCTGCTATAGAGCTCCAAGGCCCTAGGTCCCACCCAGCCTGGTGCTCAGAGAGGGGGAGGGGGGAAGCCCTGGGCTGCTCATGTGGACATAGCCCTCACCTGGGCCCAAAGGTTCTTATGTGCTGTCCCCCTCAGAGAGCTCCTGGAGGTAGAAAGACTGGATCCAAATGGCATAGCAACCATCATAGGCAGTCGATGAACCTCACAGGGAAGAAACAGACTGGGGAGGGTGTTCCTAGGGGAGATCTGTCTGGGAAGGCTGTTCTCAGACAGAACAATGAAGCAGATTGCAAAGGTGAACAGAGATTTGGATCTACTCATTCCTTTGTTGAGTCATTTATTTAACAAACATCTGCCTTAAATGCTTTTTCAATTCCAGGGACTACTGAGGCATAGAGGACGATATTGTCCTACCCTCAAGGCACACCCGGTAGAGATAAAGACATGCATACAGGACCTTTAAATAAGGACTGCATCCAACTATGTACAAGTCAATCCTTGAGCAGAGGGGAGGGGGCTCTGGACAGGGATCTGGATCCTTTGTGAAGGACGGGGGTTGTAGGCAATCACCACACAGAGGCGTGAAAACACAGGGTAAGAGAAGTAAAGCAAGAACTGGCCCATCCTCTCATCTGGCAGAGGAGGTAGATATCCCAAGGAGAGGAAGATGAGGAGAGAGGTCAGGGCCCAGACTCTGAGGCCTGTGAATGCCTAGCTGTGGGGTTTGGAAAAGATGACCAGGAGGGATATGAATATATGGACCTCAGAAAGAAGAGCAGGGTGGGCCTGGCAGGGCCGAGGGCACACGGCAGGGCAGAGAAGGCAGGCAGCGGAGGCCTAGCTGCTGAGGGGGGCAAAGGCAGAAGAAAAGGGGCTTCTCTCAGTACTTGAAGTGAGGCCAGGAGCTGATGATGTTGTACAAAGCCTTCCCAGGAGACGGGGTGTTCTTCACATCACTGTGTCCCACCAGCAGGTAGTTGGGAGTCAAATACCCCTTGTCTGTGGCACACCGGATCAGACTTTGGGCAGCCTCCAGCGCCGCGACATTGGGTGGGATATCTGCAAAACACAACTGGATTATGAGCCACAGGAATCATGTCAGCACAGACTTCAAGACAACCCACAACCACTATCATCACCATCACACAGCTGGTGCAACAACCCAACCCTGGCAACTACCCCACAGCAGACACAAAATCAAGTCAAGATGTCAGATTCCCTGGTGCCAAAGTTCTTACCAAAAATACTTCCTAGCCCTCCAGGAGAAGCCTGAATTAAAAAGGCACAACCTGCATGCAATTACTCTGAAGATGTTAAAAACCTTTATCCACTGCTAAAATTAAGCCTAGTTTAGCCTCAGTTATCAACTGAGGGCAATTTGCATGCTCAAGGGAACCTCTGGCAGTTTCTGGAGGCATTTCTGGTGGTCAGAATTATAATGAAGGGGAGAGTTTGTTGCTCTTGGCATCTGATAGACAAAACCAACAACAAAGAATTGTTCGATCCTAAATGTTAATAGTACCAAGACTGATTAATCCTGGGTGAGCCACAGGTGTTCCCTGGACCCTTTCATGCCCTGTCCCAATGCCCCAGCCCTAGGGCATATTCCTGGGACACACACACACACACACACACACACACACACACACACTGACCTAATACCCTTTATTTTAAAAAAGAAATTTATTTTATTAATTTTAATGAACGTTTACAGAGATTTTGGGTTTCCATTCATTCATTGTTGCATTTTTCTCCCTGCTCACTGCCCCCCCCACCTCATTTCGCTTTTCTCTTCAAAAAGTAAAAGAAAAATTCTTTCATTGGTATACGATCCATCCCCTTTCCCCCAGTACACTCCGCTATGCAACCTCCATTCTGGACTCTTGTCATAACCATAATTCCCAATCATATGTAGCTTTTAAACTGTTCTCTCCCTCATCTGTTTCAATGCAGTATACATAATTTATCCAATCTTTCTGTCTCACCCTAACCGTGATGTCAGTACCGTTCTACAACAGTGGCCCTATGCAGTATTTGTCCTTTTTCATTTCAGCCTAACTCAACTCCTGATGACTCAGCCTCCTCTCCTCAGAAGTTCAGCAGAAGGTTCACAAGTCTAAACAAACCCTAGGCAAACACTCTGAGCAGTAATATTCCCCTGTGTGGCTTTAACATATGTGATGTTCGTTCATAACTACCATTGTTATTAGATTTGGTCGAGTCAATGACTCAGAGTGACCTTATGAACAACAGATCTGACCTTGCTCTATGATCTTCATGGCTCCAATATGCTTTAAGCCTATTATTAAAGTCATTGTATCAAATGGATCTTATTGAAGATCTTCTCTTTCTCTGACTATCCACATTTCCATAATTGCTATAGTAACCTCCTTCCCATTCCCCCCACCCCCCACAAAAAAAAATCTGATTTGCTGACCTAGCTAAAGATACGCACAAAGGTGACATCTGCTTCCTCCATGCATTCATAGTATGAGAAGAAAGATTTGGCCAGGTGTGAAGAAGAGAAGTTTATGGTTTGCATTTGTCAGCATGTTGCATTTAGTAAAAGTCAAGGTCAAAGCTGGTTCAATTCACCACAAGCAGGCACTAGAGTGACTCCTGTGTCTGATGCCTTTGTCTTTCATGTTTGTCAGACACTCCCTCATACGCCACCCAGAGCTTCGTACTTCACAAAGCATCTACTGACCTGTGAAGGTGCCCATGAAGGCAATGCCCAGGGCAATGTCATTGTAGCCGTCGGTATGGGAACCTTGAACATTCCAACCTGTCCCTTCATAGATGGAACCATCCTGGCCCACCAAGAAGCTAGAGGAACAGAGGGGAGATAAAGATGAGTGTGCGGGAGGCCATCTAGGAAGGAGAAAGCATTTCCTTCCTTCACCCAATAATGTCTTTACTGATCAAAGGATTATCTACTGGGAATGAAACACTGGTAAGGAGATAAATAGAGTGTTTGCCAGTGTTGTAGGCTGTTGAATTACCCCATGGGGTCCTGAGGATTCTCTGCTTTATATTGCTTGCTGATTATGTGCTTTAAATACTCCCACCATGGCTGCTTTCACATTACCAACAATTTAGCATCTAAATTTCAAACTTTCCAAATCTCTAACAAGCCCTTCGTGAGTCATGTACCCTTACCCAGAGCCAGCACACCACTGCCATCCACAATTAATTCACTAAAAAGAGGAAAGAGTCATGACTTTCAATCCCAGCGACCTGGAGGCTTTTCTCTCAACATGTCAATGAAACCCTTTCCCCTGGGTAACTGGTGATCTGATTACTACGAAATGCACTTTTCCAAACTTGCCTTATTTAATCTTTCTTTGTCTTTGGCCCTGTCAACCCCTCTCATCTTCACCAAACACTCTGACTCCTTAGCTTCTCTCATACCACATTCTTCCAGGTTTTTTTTTTCTTCTCTGGCTGCTTCTCTTCCCACCTCTTTTTCCTGCGCCCTTCTCTTTAGTGTGGGAAGGTGTTCAGGATGCTTCAGTGTTCAGCCCTCTACTCTAGTCACTCAGCACATTCTCTCAGGACTAGCCCATCTACCTCCTTGGTTTCAGTTGCCATCTATGAAGTTTCATTTGTTCATGTTAGATCCATCTTCTACCCTATCTATTCATCTTTTTCTAGGCTCCCTATCTTGGTTAAGGGCATCAACATCAAAGCACTTACTGATCTAAACAGAAATATGGGCTTTAATCCATATGCTTCATCAACTTGCCAACTGTATCTCCCAAAATGTCATCCCTTATCCAGCCCTGGGTCCTATTTATTAACCATTAAAGTCCATAGACTTCTTAAATGCCCCCACCTCTCTCCACCATAGTCATCACTTCCCTAGCCAATGTGGTCATGCATAAAGCACCTCACTTGTTGAACACCCTAAAAGTGTTTATTCTTTTCCCTTCTTTTCAATATTCAGTTTCTTCACCCAAGGGGAAAGCAATCCACATGTCCTCAGGTCCACTTACTTATGCCCAATGTCACATGAGTCAAATCTGTCCATGAACAAGGACTGGATGTCTCGTACAAGTGAGCAGCACTCAGCAGATTCACTGCAGGTTCTCCCAGAGGTGTGGATGATGATAACGTATTTAGCTGGAAGGTTCATCTTGGGGCAGTAGGATGACCTGGCTTCCCAAGTAGACCGTGTAACAATGTTGGGGCAAGCTGTGGTGGGACAAAAGAAACAAGAGAGGAGTATTAATTTTGCCCACCCATCTGCCAACCACATCGTTACTAAAAGTCCACATATTCCTCAGTCTCTGTCCAACAACCCAACATTCAGGGAAATTTGAGGCTCAGGAGAGGCCAGCAGCTCTCAGAATGGGCCACTTACGTCTCTGGGTGACATAAATGTTTCCTGCCATACTATTAACTTCAAGGTGACACCATACTCTCATTGCTGTCAAGTCAGAAAAACTAGCTTGTGGATACCTCTCCAGCATCCACCAGATTTTCAGAGTTTGTAAATTGCACAAGAGAAGATTTTTCTCCTGCTCATGGATTTGAACTGCCTGCCTTTGTGTTGGCAGCAAACTTTCTTTCTCACTAGGTACCAGAACTCTCTCCAAAAATGACAGCCAAGAAAACCCTCAGAACACTGCACTATCAACCCAAAGCACATGGCTAGAACTCATCAAGTGCTCCATGGAAGATGGGCAATCTCCTCCTGTGTGATTTATTACCTCTGAAAATCCACTGGGGAGTCAATTCTGACTTGACTACAATGAACAACAACAACAACACTGGAACACATGAGGTCTCCTTATTCCTTTGCTAAAATCAAGTTATTATCAATGACGGTTTGGGTTTTGTTTTGCCTGTTGTTTCATTGTTGTTGTTGGATGGACTATGTTTGCACCAAGGAACTGAAATAAAAACTGTGTGTATACATATACGTGCCAGGATCTTTGTGGATAAATCAGATTAATTTTCATCTGAAAAACATGTCTTTGAGAGTCATCTGTAATACATGGCTCAGTTCAGGTGTACCTTAGTCCTCAAAGTGACATCTTTGCTCTTTATCACTTAAAGAAGTACTTTGCAACAAATTTGCCCAATGTAATACATCATTTGATTTCTCAACCTCTGCTTCCATGGACATTGTGATGCAAGTAAAAGTAAATCCTTGACATTTTTATATGTCATCGTTGTTGTTGTTATGTGCCGTCAAGTCACCTGCAACTCACAGCAACTCTATGTACAACAGCTCTGAAGCCTGCCCTGTCTTGAGCCAGTCTCACTGATCCTGACACACCTAACTCCATTACCCCAGTTACTGCATCAATCCATCTCATCTGGCGTCTTCCTTTCCTGTGCTGTCGCTTCCCCCTTCCAAGCATGATGTCCTTCTCCAAGGACAGGTCTCTCCTGGCCATGCACCCAAAGTATGTGAGATGGAGCTTCAAAATCCTAGTCTCAAAGGAGAGACTTAGTTTTACCCTCTCCAAGACAGACCTATTTGTTTTCCTGGCAGTCCAAGGTATGTTCAAGACTCTTCCCCAGCACCACAATTCAAAGGCATTGATTCTTCTTCTGTCATCCTTAGTTATTGTATCCTAGCTCTCTCTTTTTAAATTTTTTTTATATTTCTCTGATTTATTTACAAAGTTTGAATACATTATTTTTCACAAAAAGTCCTTCCCATTTCCTTCACCCCACCCACTCATCGAATTGTGCAATCCTACGATGTATCCTATCTCTGTGCTTCTTTTTCCTTTCTTCATAGCCATTTACAACATATAAATGCCAAATATTTTCCTTGTGTATTTGTTTATTAGAGTGAGTGTTCTGGTGGCCTGGTGGGCAAAGAGTTGTGCTGCCAACCCAAAGACAGGCAGTTTGAATTCACCTTTGGAGAAAGATGTTTGATTTACAGCCTCTGAAAACTCACTGGAGGGCCAGCTTTGCATTGGTTCCAACTTGAGAGCAATGAGTTAATGAGCTGGTGGTTTGTTTATTTCCTGACTCTGCCTTTTAGATTGAAACTTTATGAGGTCAGGAATGTGTGTGTGTGTGTGTGTGTGTGTGTGTGTGTGTGTCCCCAAGGTAAGCTATCCTCAGTGCCTAGTAGGTTCTCAATAAATAATAGTTGACTGATTGATGACATTAATGTCTAAACATTACACTAGAGATAAAGTTGTGGCTTTTTCAGCCTAGGGATCTGAGGAAGGTTCTTCTGAAGAGAGCTGTATGGCAATGTCCCTTTCATAGAGAAATGCAGAGAGAGCCAGGCTGGAGGGATAGACCACTCCCAATGGCATTTGGAGCCAGTATTGGGTGAGTTTCAAAGGAGGGCAAAGTGGGCTTAAAGGTCTTACCTTTCTTTGGTCCTGACTCCTGTGGAGACAGGAGGCAGTCCTCTCCTTTCACAAGAAGTGGCTGAGAATACCTGGATGATAAGTGGCCATTTTGGACAGCATAAGAGATTAAACCCTCCATGGCTGACAGGGCAGCAGGGCTAGGACTATATCCTGGAAGAGAATGGCCTGGCCTGAATTTTTTTTTACAGTGGAGCTGTAAGGAGAGAATGGCACGTAACAACAATAGCAAATCTTATGGGAGGAGATCTGCTGATGGAGTCAAACCAAAGCAGCAAGACTTTTGATTTAGTGTAATTCTCTCTGGACTAGGCCACCAGAAAACTGGAAATAATAGCCTGGCTCTGAAGACATGTCAAAGCTGAAGAGGAGATGTTAAGAGCTAAAGTGTTGGGTCTTTCTAGGAGAACACGGATTGGTGTTACTAGGGTGGGAACAGGGCTACAGACAGAAAATTGGATAGACTCTTCACTATGAGATGGTGAGAGGGAGAGGAGTTTGCAACAAAGGTGAAGAAGAAAGCGGAGCAGTAGGTGGAAGCCCAGAAGAACCCTGTTTCATTGAAGACTGGAGAGAAGAGAAGTTCGGGAGACAGGTGATCGTCAGAGAACCTGAAAAACAACAGTGTGCAGACAACTCTTTATAGAAGGGTTCAGCAGGATGACCATTACCTATCTTGGAGCCGAAGAAGGCAAAACCCAGGGAGATGTTGCTGTAGCCTTGTGTGTGCCAGCCTGGGACATTCCAGCCGACACCTTCATACAATCTGCCATCGTCTCCAACCAGAAAGCTGTGGAGCAAGGAAAATTTAATGCCTGGCATCATGTTACATCCCTGCAAGAAGAAATCACTTACTTATCTCAAAGGGCAGACAGCATCAAATTATGTTCACAAAGAGGAATTTGCATGAACACTTTAACAACAACAGTTAGACCAAACTATTGATATTATTGTTTAAAACGGAGGTGAATCCAGTACTGTGCTCACTACCTCCCTGTCTTGCCCAGTTTTGTTGCAAATCATTTTGCCTGCTTTAAAGGAGTCCTAGAGCCTCTAACACACACCCAAACACACAGTGTGGTAATCTCCTCAATCATCACACTTTTTAAAGATGGTCCTTCTCTTTCTTCTAAAATGCATACTGCCTATGTCATTGCCATACATGCTTTTCATTTGATTTCTACCAGAAAAGTGCCTTAGGTGGACTTTTCATGAAATATCATTTGAGACAAGGATTTGGATGCAGGAATTTAGAGGTGGAGGGAGAAGATCCCAGAAGTCAGAGTGAAAAAAGAAAATGAAACAAAAAGAAGAAACCCCTCACCACATACAGAATTGGCCAACAAGGGCTAGTCTCTTCCAGTGATTTACTGAGTAACCACAGATATGAAAATATACTTTCGAATTCTCCCTCAGAAGAGCTGGGAGCTGAAGGATTTATCCACTTACTGTCCTCTACAAGAGCATTAGCACTCTTCATTATAAAAGTTGTTGTTCTTGTATACCATCAAGTCAGAACCAACCCATAGCTGATCTCCGGCAGGATTTCAGAGGCAGTTAATGACACGGAAGGAGATCGCCCAGCCTTCTGCGGAGCAGCTGGTAGACTTGAACAGCATACCTTCAGGATTGCAGCACAGCTTCTTGTCACTAGGCCACCAGAGCTCCTTTCTAATGAAGCTTTACTTTAATGAAGTGAATGCAGTAAAACCTTTGGAGTCTTAACTTGCTGACATAGTAGAATTCAAAATTAGGATAAACAGCCACTAATAATGGGAATGTGGAATATACAGAGTATGAATCTAAGAAAATTTGTAGTAAAAAATGAAGTGCATCACACAAAGACCAATATCCTAGGCATCGTTGTTGTTGATTGCCTTTGAGTCAAGCATGACTCATAGTGATCCTATGAACAAAAAGCCTAAAGCCCCTCTTTAGTCATCAATATTTATCAAAGTTCATAGAGTTTCTGGAGGCATGATGTTTATGGATGCCTCTCCTACTTCCAAACCTGTCATAGAATGTTATTGATTTTACTGATAAAAAATGGATTGATATTGGCAATTTTGAATCAGATAATCTCATGGTCTACTATACCAGGAAAGACAAACTGAACAAGGAATAGTGTCACATTCATCACAAAATGAGCATTTCAGGGTCTACGTTGAAGTACATGTAATACTGTCAGTGAAAGGATATATCCACAGACATACAAGGAAGATGTTGTTGTTGTTATGTGCCATTGAGTAGCCTGCGACTCATAGTGACCCTATGTACAACAGCCCTAAACGCTGCTCTGTCCTGTGCCAATCGCACTGTCTCCGATACATCTACCCCGATTATCCCAGTAACTGAATCAATCCACTTCATAGAGGGCCTTCCTCTCCTACTCTGTCCCTCTACCCTCCCAAGCATGATGTCCTTCTCCAAGGACTGGTCTCACCTTGCAACATGTCTAAAGTATGTCAGACAAAGCCTCAGAATCCTTGCCTCCAAGGAGCAGTCCGGTTTAATCCTCTCCAGGAAGATAAGTTAGTTAATATTATTATTAAATGGTTAATATTGTCAGCTTGGCCTTAATCCTCAGTACTCTATCCTATGTGTTATAAATTCCTATCTCTGTGATACTAATGAAGTAGGATTAGAGATAATTCTGTAAAGATATGATCAGTTTTCTCTAATGAAAGTGAAGTCTCCTCAAGGGTGTGACCTGCATGGAAAATTTGTACAATTTTGGCAAAGCAACAGAGCTCTTTGTCTTATCATGTATCTAGCTTTCTATTCTCTAGACTTGAATCAATGGTTTGTCTTCTTTGCCAACTTCAGACTTATCAGCTTCCAAAGCTGGCAGGACTCAACTTTCCTCCTTGCCTTTGAATTCATCAGAGTCTCAAGCCAACATTCTCTGAGGCCAACAATCTGAGTCTTTGGCTGCCAATGACTAGAACTCATTAGCCTCCTTCGACATCTCACTTTTGAGGTATGACCCACAGATGTAGGGCTTGCCAGCCTCTACAAGTATGAGCAATTTCCTTGAAATATCTCTCTACCTCTAACTCTTTGTGTGTGCACGTGCACGCGCGCGCACACACACACACACACACACACACACACGTTGTTGTTAGGTGCTGTCAAGTTGTAACCATTCACAGCTACTTTCAGTGGGTTTTCACAGGCCACAAATCACATAAGAGAAGATTGTCCATTTTTTCCCCATGGAGCAGCTAGTTTTGAAGCACTTGCTTTTGTGTTGGCAGCAAAATTCCTTATCACTTAGTTACTAGAGTTGTAGAAAGAAAGAGAGAGAGAGCATGCGCATAATTTCCTCTGTCATCCTTATTCATTGTCCAACTCTAAGATGCACAGCAGGTGATTGGAAAGAATTGACTTGAATCAGGCATACCTTTAGTCTTTAGACTGATATCATTGCTTTTCAGAACTTTGGAGAGATCCCTGACAGCAGACTTTCCCAATGTTATACATCTTCTGATCTCCTGATTGCTGGTACCAAGGGTGTAGACCGTGGATCCAAGAAAGATGAAATAATTGAAAATGTCAATCTTTTGTCCATCTATCATGATGTTGCATATTGATCCTGTGGTCCAGAAGTCCAGAGGGGTATAGCTCTATCTCTATCTCTAGACCTAGATCTAGACCTAGACCTAGATCTTTAGCTTCTTTATCTATATCATCTGTATCTATCTCCAGAAGTATACACACACATGCATACATATACTTCTCTAGAGAATCCAGCCCAAGACAAATATTATTCAAAAGCATACACCAAACACTAAAGCCAAATATGAAGAAACTGAATATTTCTACAAATCAGTGCAACTGAAAAGGATCAAATCTGATCTAGATGCACTGATAATTACTGGTGTTTGGAATGCTAAAGTTGTAAACAAAGAAAGATCAGTAATTGGAAAATATAAATGATGTCAGAGATCACAACCAGATTTTGTAAGACCAACAACAGACTCACTGGGAAAATCTTTGTTTAAAATGTAAAAGCAGTTACTGTACATGTGAACAATGCCAGATGGAGTACACAGGGATCAAATCAACTCCATCTCTGGAAAGCGATGTGGAACAGCTCAATAACATCAGTCAGAACAAGTCTAGGGCCTGACTGAAGTAGAGACCACCAATTTTGCATGCTCATATGTAAGCTTAAGTTGAGTCAGAAGAAAATGAAAACAAATCCATGAGAACCAAAGTCTAGCCCTGAGTACTTATACCAGAATTTAAAAACCATCTCAAGAACAGATTTTGATATGCTGAACACTAATGGCCAAAGACCAGATAAGTTATCAGATAATATCAAGAACATAATACATGAATGAAACAAAATGTCATTAACAAGACAGGAAAGAAAAACCAAAATAGATATCAGAAGAAACTTTGAAACTTGTTCTTGGATTTACAGCTGTTGTTGTTGTTGTTGTTACATGCCATCAAGTCACCTGCAACTCATAGCAACCCTATGTACATGTACATGTATATGCCCTAAACCCTGCTCTATCTTGAGCCAATCTTATTGTCTCTGACACACCCACCTCCAGTCACCAAATGAATCAATCCATCTCATCAAGGGCCTTCCTCTCTTGTGCAGTCCCATCAGCCTCCAAAGCATGATGTCCCTCTCCAAGGATTGGTCCCTCATTGAAACATGTCCAAAGGATGTCAGATGTATTTTCAGAATCCTTGCCTCCAAGGAGCAGCCTGGTTTCACCCTCTCTCAGACAAACCTGTTTCTTTTCCTAGTAGTCCATGGTATATTCAATACTCTTCTCCAGCACCACAGCTCAAAGGCATCAATTATCCCTATCATCCCTAATCATGATCCAGATTTTTGCTGCATAGCAAGTAATTGCAAAGACTATGGCCTGGATCAGGTGCACTTTAGTCTCCAGACTAACATCATTGCTCTTTAATACTTTAGAGAGGTCTCTGACAGCAGACTTTATCAATGCAATCCATCTTTTAATTTCCTGGTCGCTAGTACCAAGAGTGTTGATAGTGTAGCCAAGCAAACTAAAGCTGTTGACGTCTCAATGTCTTCACCATCTATCATGATGCTGCCAATGGGCCCAGTGGTGAGAATCTTCATTTTCTTGATGTTGAGCTTCAATCCATATTGAAGGCTGCAGTCCTTGACCTTCTGCAAGAAGGGCTTCAGGTCTTCCTTAGTTTCAGCAAGCAGGGTTGTGTCATCTACATAACACAGGTTGTTGATGAGTCTTACTCCAATCCTGATGCCACAATTTTACTCATAGAGCCCAGCTTCCAGGACAATCTGTTCTGCATATAGGTTGAAAAGATATGGAGATAGGACACATCCTTGGCATACACCCTTCCCAATTTTGAACCATACAGTTTTTCATTGCTCTGTTTTGACAACTGCCTCCTGGTCCAAGTATAGGTTTTGTATAAGCACAATCAAGTGTTTGGGATTCTCATTCTTCTCAGAGTCAACTACAGTTTTTTGTGATCCACTCAGTCAAATGCCTTTGCATAGTAAATGAAACACGGATAGACATCCTCTGGTAGAAGTGGACCAAGGTCACCAACAAGATCCACTAGGGTGATGGAAAATGACCTCACTAAGGTAAAAGCCCTGTCTATGTGGTGTGGAGGAACATGCAAAGAAATGGGTTTGGGCTATTTGAGTTTCACAGCTCTGCAGCTGTGTGGCCTTGAGGGAGTCAAACTGCCTCTCAGTCTTTCATCCTCCTGCTTTTAGCTTGGAGATAGGTCATCATAGCTGCCCTACAACCTCACAGAGCTTTCAGGGAGCAATTAAATTAATGGATACGACAGTCATTTATAATCTATGATGTGCTCTTCTTAACCAGGTTTTGTGAGACAGACATTATAGTACTACTTAACCTCCTTCTCTTCCTGAGTTACGTCAGAGACAGGGACCTCATAAAAAAATCTGGAACTTTTGTGGAATTTCCAAATATTTTTGTTTAATAGAAAATCAACATAACCTAGAAAATGAGGTGAACAGTGAACAGTGATGAGGGATGGGAGAGCTAAGGCCCAGCCTCTTACTTGTAGGCCACATCACACCAGCCGTTGCCCATGTGATGGGACCGCAGCTCCTGTAGTCTCTGACTACAGGTGGTCTGGTTGTGACAGTCCAGCCCAGGGATGTGATGTATGACCAGGAAGTCCACTGGTATGGTCAGCTGGGCTCTGCAGCCACCAGCTCCTGTCCCCCACTCCTGACGAGAGACCATGGCAGTGACACCTGCAGGGGAAGCGTAGAGGAGTTTTAGAGACTGACCTGCCCAACTCTGCCAAGAAAGCCACTTCAGGCTGGGTGTACCCCACAGAGGTGAGCCCGGGGTGGGGGGGTTCCTGAATACAGATCCTCTTCTTCTCAACCTAAGGCCCAGTTTCACCTATGCTTGCCTCATCACAAAGCCTCTGCCTGGTCAGAGAAGCTTAGATGCCTGTTTCCCTAACCCAGACATTCCCTTGGGCTCTGACCATCTTTTTCCTCCTTCTCTGGTCCAGGACCTACTCAGAAATATCTCCTCCCAGATGAAGCTCCGAGGGCCTTCTCTCAGTTCCATCTCTGCACTAATGTCCACAGTGCACTGTGCTCACTGATGATTTTCTCTGTGACTTGGAGTGCATCTTTCCTTTGTTCCTGAGGGCTCAAATCACTCCCTCAGCCTGGGGAATCTCTCTGGTCAGCTGTCTCATCCCCTCCATCTGAAGTCTTCTTTGAGCAAGGCTGTGTCTCCTCCTTCAGACTGTGGATTCCCGATAGGCACAGTATAGGCCTCCATCCTCAGACTACTAGGTCCCTGAGCATAGGAGCTATTTATTCCTTTTTTAAAAAAATCCCTCTCCTTGGCTTCTATTCCCTCCTCCACCCCACAGGTCTAGAACAACTGATGCAGGTAGTTTGCCTGTGCCCTTCTCAGCGTCTCAACCCTACTCGCCCACATTCACAATGTGCATATACAGACCTGAGACGAATTTATGGGAAACATTGCTAAGCTCCTCTGATGTGTTTTCAGTTTGTATTCCAATCCAAGAGGAATCGCCTGCAAAAGAGTGTTTCACTCTATCAATTCTCAGAGAAGCCCAATACCAACCACGCTCTACTTCACTGCCCTTCTGCCTCCCAGGTCCCCAAGTCCCCCCAAGAAGCCCCTCTGGATTGATTAAAGAATCACTTTCAAAAATAGTACATGGTGCTAGTTTTTTGCTAACTCCAGGTATTTCCTAGGATGATTGTTAAATAGTATTATTATATGTGTATACATAAGTACTGAAGAGCAATGGTGTCTTTCTGGAGATTAAGGTGCATCTGATACAGGCCATGGTCTTTGCAATCACTTGTTATGCATCAGAGAGCTGGACAATGACTAGGGAGGACAGAAGGAGAATTGACGCCTTTGAGCTGTGGTGCTATAGAAGAGTATTGAATATACTATGGACTGCTAAGAAAACAAACAGGTTCATCCTAGAGAGGGTTAAACCAGGCTGCTCCTTGGAGGCAAGGATTCTGAGACTCCATCTGACATACTTTGGACATGTACTAAGGAGAGACTGGTCCTTGGAGAGGGACATCATGCTTGGGAGGGTGGAGGGACAGCGCAGGAGAGGTGGATTGATTCAGTGACTGTGATAATCAGGATGGGTATATCCGAGACAGTGCGACTGGTACAGGACAGAGCAGAGTTTAGGGCTGTTGTACATAGGGTCGGTAGATGGCACATAACCACAACAAACAACATACATAAACTAGGGCGCTCTGGTGGCCTGGTGGTAAGAAGTCACACTGCAATCCCGAAAGCACACAGTTCAAAACCACTAGCTTCGCTGTGGAAGAAGGATGGGCAATCTCCTGTGTGATTTACTGCCTCTGAAAACCCACTAGAGGTCAGCTGTGGGTTTGTTCTGACTCAAGAGCACACAGCAACAATTACATATAAACTTTTTTAAAAAACCCAAACTAAAAAAAAACAAATCTCAAATTCACTTCCATGGAATCAGAATCAACTCACAGCTGACTCTCCAGTGGGATTCTTGAGGCTGCAAACCACAAAGAAGAGACTGTCCATCTGTCCCCCTTGGAGCTGCTGGTGGGTCTGAACCACTGGAAAGGAATGGCTTTTGGGTTAGCAGCAGAGTTGGCTAATGGCTATTTTACCAGAGTCATAAACAACCAGTTAAATACAAAGATTATAATTTTCTTATGAAATTTATGAATTTTCTCATGAATCTGTATGTGATGCAAAACAATCTGTAAACATAATCTGAAATTCAGACCCTGTAAAGCTGCAAAGTCCTTATTTAATAGATGAACTCTCTTTCTAATAGATTCAATGGGGCAGAGTGTTCGGAAAAGGCTTCCAAAACCTGTATGAAACAAGTCTGTTCTTCCAGGATTTCTTTTCGGTGGTTGGGGGTGGGGTAGGGAGGGTACATGCTAGGCCATGATCCAGTGCGAGGGACTATGGAGATGAGTGCAGGGTATAGGCTGGCACCCCTGTTCTTAAAGACCTTTCTCTTCTACAAAAAACCCCTCAAGTTCTAGACTAGAACATAACTGGTTTGATAATAACAACACAAATAAATCATTGCTACTATTTATTTGCTCTAACCGCCCAAGTGCTGAGCCCTTTACATGCACTGCTGTTAAATGTTGTTGACTTGGCCCTCAACGCATAGTGGCCCTAAGTAAAATGGAAGGAAATGCTGCCTGGTCTCCTAACAGCCACTTGATAAACCATCACGATCCATGAAAATCCATTGTCATTTTCACTGGCTGGTTTTCAAAAGTAAATCACCAGGCCTTTCTTCCCACACAAAAAATTTTGTTGGCACAATAAGGTTGTTGTCGTTGTTGTGTGCCATCTTGGAATCTACTTATAGCTGACCTTCCACTGGGTTTTCAGAGGCAGAAAATCTCATGGGAGGAGACACTGCTCATCCTTTTCCATAAAGCAGCTAGTAGATTCGAATCGCACGCCTTTGGGATTGTAGCATAGCTTCTTGTCACTTGGCCCCCAGAGCTCCTGTGCTCAGTTCCTGGGCAAGTCATAATGATCCAGATGATTTTTGCTGGCTAATCTTCAAAAGTAAATCACCAGGCCTTTCTCCCTACACAATAATCTTGTTTGCACAATCAGTTTAGGAAGCCATAAATCTTGTCCTAAAGTTGAGGGTCCTGGGGGAGAATTAAGGTTTAAAGGCGTCCTCGCTCACTCATTCACTGCTGTGGAGTTGGTTCTGACTCACACCAACCCCGCATCAGGCTTTCGAGGCTGTAAATTACAATAGGAGGAGATCGTCCATTTCTCTCGTTTGGAGTCCTTGTTGGAGGATTCAAACCACCAGAGAGACACACAGCTTTCGGGTTAGCAGTTCAACTTGCTAGGAATTATGCCAACAGAACTCCCTAAAGAAGCTCTCAGTTTGTTTAAAATCTTTGCCAAGGGCAAGACAAGGATTTGAATTTAAGTCTACAGTCTCCAAGTTCCTGTACTCTAAACACAAAACTACTCTTTCTCTTTTTAAGGGCAAGATTGCCTGTGATTAGACATAAGACTGATCCTTCTAATTTAACCCCCAATCCAGTGAAAGAAAACTCACCCCAGATCCTGAGGCCCAGCATGGAGATGACAAGAAGCCAAGGCAGCATCTTCACTTGGTCCCAGGACACTGAAGAGAAGAGAGCAGGCTATAGCCTGGGGAGACACTGATGGTTAACAGGAACGGTCATGCTCCAGCTGGAGCATCTACCTTTCCACATGACTAAGGCCTCCTTCTACTATTGTTTAATGAGTACCCTCTGGACACAGGCTTGACAAGGCATCTCAGAAACTCCAGCATATGTCAGGTGTTCATCAAATGGGTTATTGTTGTTGTGTACCAGTAAGTCGAAAAAGCCCCATAGCTGATCCTCCAATAGGATTACAGAGGCAGTAAATTCTACAGGAGGAGATTTTTCCATCCTTCTTCCACAGAATAGTTGGCAAATTTGAATTGAATACAATATCTTTCCACTAGGCCACCAGATAATGAGGCAAAATACCTTTTCCTAAAATGCTCACCCATGTTGTATAGTGTTTTACAGGTTCATTTTTTTTCAATGTTGCATAATATTCATTGTTTAGATGTACCACAGTTTTTATATCCATTATTTGTTTATGGGCACTTGGGCTGCTTCCATCTCTTTGCTATTGTGAACAACATAACAATAAATATGGGTGTGCATACATCTGTTTGAATCACAACTCTGGTGTCTTTAGGACATATTCCCAGTAGTGGAATTGCTGGATCAAATGGTATTTTTATTTCCAACTATATTCTAAGTAAAATATCTCAATCACTAAAGGATAAATATTGCACTGCATAACTTGCTGTTATAAAATAGGACTAACACAGTGGATTGGGAGGAGAATAGGAAAAGAGTGGATAACTCTGTGTTGGAACAGATGCGAGGAATTAACAGTTGGAACTATCTGACAGGAATGCATGATTAGGCATTATATGTATGAACACAAACTGGAGCAAGAGGTGCATTGCAAAGTGGACTGGGGAGAGTTAAGAGGGGGGAAGGAGGAAAATGCACAACAATGAATGAATGAAAACCCAACCTTTCTGTAAACTTTCACTAAATATATATATATATATAGATATATAATAGTGTGTATATATATATATAAAGTAGTATACACACACACACACACACACAAGCTACTATATACAGATTAAAGCTCAACATCAAGAAAACAAAGATTCTCACCGTGGGGCCAACTGGCAGCATCAGTATAGGTGGTGAAGAGACTGAGATAATTAACAGTTTTAGTTTGCTTGGCTCCACAGTCAACACTCTTGGCAACAGCAGCCAGGAAATCAAGAGATGAATTGCATTGGGAAAATCAGCTGTCAGGGACCTCTCCAGAGTACTGAAGAGCAACGATGTCAGGCTGGAGACTAAGGTGTGCCTGATCGCGGCTATAGTCTTTGCTAGGGATGATAGATAGAAAAGAGAATTGATGCCTTTAAGCTGTGGTGCTGGAGAAGAGTATTGAATATACCATCAACTGCTAGGAGAACAAACAGGTTTGTCCTAGAGAGTGTGAAGCCAGGCTGTTCCTTGGAGTCAAGGATTCTGAAGCTTTGTCTGACATACTTTGGGCATGTTGCAAGGAGGGACCAGTCCTTGGAGAGGAACATCATGTTTGGGAGAGTGAAGGGACAGCACAAAAGAGGAAGACCCTTGATAAGATGCATTGATTCTATGATTGGGGTGGCAGGAATAGATGTGTCAGAGACAATAAGGTTGGCACAAAATAGAGCAGGATATAGGGCTCTTGTACATAGGGTCATAGAGTCACTATGAATCACAAGTGACTCAATGGCACATAACAACAACAATAATAAAATATTAATATAGATCTGATGGCCTAGTGACAAGAAACTGTGCTGCAATCCTGAAGGCATGTGGTTTGAGGCCACCAGCTGCTCTCTGGGAAGAGGATGGGCAATCTTCTCCAATGTGATTAACTGCCTCTGAAAACCTGCTGAAGGGTCAGCTGGATAGGTTCCTCATCTACGATACACAACAACTATATAAATAGATGATTCGATAGATTTAGATATAGATGATACAGATATAGAGATAGTAAAAGGCTTGCAGGGAGACTGACACATGCAGTTTTACTTAGTCTCAACATCAATTCTGTAATATAGGATCCTTAACACTTTTTTTTGTGCATGTACCGTCAAATCAGATCTTACTGGTACAGGAGGAAATTGTCCCTCCTTCTCCGGCAAAGCATCTGGTACATTTGAACCGTGTACCTTTGGGATTTCAGTACAGCTTCTTACCACTAGGCCACCAGAGCTCCCCTAACACCCATTTTTATAGACAAGGTAAGTATGACACAAAAGTGGTAGAAACAAGAAATCCGAATTAAAGAAGGGTAAAAAGAGTGAGCAGGAGGCTTGTAACACAGAGAAAGGAATGATGAAAGACACAGGAGTAGAACTAAACTCATTTGGAATAATAAAAATAATTTGGAATACAGACTTCTAATTTGGAAGAATAGTTCTGAGAGAAGTCCAGACGATTTTCTCCAACGTCTTCACATTCTAACCAGATAAAGTCCAGCCTCTCTGGTTGGGAGAGGACTCCTCAAGAATAAGCAGGATCACACCCAAGAATACCTGTGTCTCCGTTGTTGTCCCAGTCCCAGCAGGTCAGGCTCCCCGTCATTGGCTGCCAGCTCCTTTTCTGCCAGACTCCATCTCTGAGCCCGGCCCCTCTTCTCCAGCTGTTGTCTTCTTTTTGGCTTTCAATTTCCTGTCACTAGAGGGCGCTCTCTCCTGCAAGTAGAAACACTCAGGCCTCAGCTTCTCAAAGAGGAATGAGGGTCCCCAATAAAAGGAGGATGGTGCCAATCTCTGAGCCTCTAAGCTGGCTTCTTCACAGCGCAGAGAGAAACTCAGGTACGACAGGTTGGCTGAGAGTGTTGGTGACCCGCCCTGTGAATAAGCCCAGAATCTCCTCCCTGGGAAAGATTTCCCAACAGCACTCCTGAACTCCTTCCTGGTCCCAACCCTTGTAAATCAGGCCCACGAGGGGACACCTGTGGGATTTTTAAGGGTTTTATCTCTGCCCTCCGAGTATTTCTAGCAATTTTGAAAGCCACACCAAAATCTCTCCGCTCCCTTTCTCCAAAGTGACCAGCAAGGATAGGACAAATGAAAACCCTTGAAGCTTTACCAAGGAAACTGTTCATGACAACTTCCAAGAATGCATAGAGTAGGTGTCTACAAGGGCCTGCAGGGCTTCTCACATTCACCGGGTGAGGCGGGTTTGGAAATCTTGTCAAACTTACCTAGCTGAAGAACTACTTCAAATCTAGAAAGGTTGCCTTTCATAGAACTATTTTCAGGCTTCGAGATCCTGAGACAAATCTTTTACCAGACAAGGGGCCCCCTGAAACTCACCACATTCTACCAGGTTCTGTTTTCCCCAGTCTATTTCCCCAGGCCCACTGGGAAGAGAGCCTGGAGCCATCTGAAGTATGGTGGACATTAAACCTCATTCTGAGGCGACGGCGCAAGTGGGACTGATTCAGATAAAAGACTGAGGGCACTAATACTGTAGGGACACCATAAGCTTCCTGAACAGTGATGATTTCCTCAAGTTTGTTATGTTTCTTTTTTGCTGGTGGGTTGTTGCTTTATTTGTTGTTTTGGGAGTGGGTTTTTTTGTTGTGAGGTTTTTTTGGGGGTTGGGTTTTTTCTTTTGCCTCCATTTATCTCCAACCTCAATGAAGGACCTGTCAACTTGTTTCTGAGGTAGTTCAGTGAGGGCATCGGGGTGACTTAACTTCCCTCTGCAACAAGAATAAAGGGATAAAGAATCAAGAACAGACTGTGTGGGGACCATATAAAAGAGGAAAGAAAACAGGCAGAAACCAGTGAACATGGAGAGATTCACAGGTCGACAGAATCCCTAAGGCAAAAACCTCTTGTAACAAGGGCATAAAGGGATTCTCCCTCTCTAGTTCTTCGAATCTGGAGTAAGATCCACAGCATTAAGTCCTGAATGATCAGGCCTTTATCAAGTACCTCAGTTTTATCTCTCCCCTCTCTTCCTCTTCACTCCCTGCTCCTCTCCAAGCGTTTCCCCACCTCCAGCCTTTACAGACATTGTTCCCTCCACCTCGTTACTCATTTGGACCCAGAGGCTGAATTAATCTCAGCCTGGATTCCTCAAAAGACTTCCACAACTACCTTTTCCATGCTACCCACACCAAGGTCCCTATGGCACTGTCCTGGTTCCAATCGCAACTTAAAGGGGAAACTTTCACAATGTCCAAAGTGCTTGATTTAAAAAAAAAAGAAAGACTTCCACGACCAAGGAGCCTCAATTCTCTCTTGCCTTTCATAAAACTCGTAAGTTGTTAGTTTTGAGACACCATCAAGTGACTTAGCATGAAGTAATATGTTATATTAAACTTTACCTACATTTTCTTTCAAAAAGTTTCACTTAGGAGTGTAAGATTCTGACAATGACTCCGTGGTAATTGAAGTAAGGTAATCGTGGAGGCTCGACTCCCTTCTGCCACAGAAATTAAAGGTTATATAGGTAAAAAGAGGGTGAAAATTATTCATTTTATTAAATCTCAGTCATATTTAAGGAAAATTACTTAAGAAATTGAGTTGTGAGTTCAACTAGCCACTTTTTCCTAAATTAAACACCATTTTTACTGGAAAGAAACAACATACTTAAAATAATCAGGATTGACTATGTGGCAGACATCTCAAAATTGAGCTAAGTGAATGCAAATCAAAATAACTGAGATATATTTTCACCCCAGCAACAATAGCAAAGCTCAATGGGGCCGCAAACAACAAATACTGGTGAGGGTGTGGAGAGATTGGAACACTTATTCATTGCTGGTGGGAATGTAAAATGATAACAGCCACTATGGAAAGCATTCCGGCTCTTTCTTAAAAAGTTGAGAGTAGAAATACTATCTGACCCAGCAATTCCACCACTAAATACACCCCAAAAAACTAGAGACACAACTCCAACAGATGTATGCACACTTATCTTTATTGCTGCATTATTCACAATAGCAAAGCAATGGAAGCAACCCAAATGCCCATCAACAAATGAATGGAAAGAAAAACTATGGTAGATCTGCACAATGGAATATTATGGTGCGTTGAAAAACACTGAACTCATCAGACATAGCTTTGGGGATCCTGGAGGACATTATGCTCAGTGAAATAGCTCATTTACAAAAGGATGAACACTGCATAATACTGCTGTTATAAAATAGGACAGACATAGAAGGGTTGGGGAGAGAATAGGAAAAGAATAAATAGATAATGAACACTGCATTGGAACAGAGGAGGGGGAGAACTATCTGAAAGGAATAAATGATTAGGTATTATATGTATGACAGCAATTTGGAACAAGGGGTGCATTGCAGAGTGCATTGGAGAAAGGGATGGGGAAGAAAATATACAATAATGGGGAAAAACCCAACTTATAAATTTTTTTTAAAGTTTATCTAAGTGAGTCTGTCACTTCAAGGAAAACAGAGAGGCTTTGTGACCTTAAATAGAATCGAAGCTTTCGAACGAAAATTAGAATTTTGGAAAATTTGTTTCTATCTCTATGAGTTTGATAATTTTCCAGTACTTACAGACTTTCCTGTTGAGACTAGTGAAAAATTTTAAATGTGATTTCTATTATGTGTGTATTGTGCAGTGAAATGTGTCAATATTTAGATGATCTAGATAACTCAGCAAACCAATATTTTTTATCAATGATTTTGCAAAATGTGTGTGTGTGAAAAAAGTCCATTCAAAGTTCAAAACAGGCCAATAGATTCTAACATACAAAGAATTCACTCATATGGTTTCAGATTCCACATTGTAACAAACCTTTAGAATGTACTACTTATTGAATATTTTGATGTAGAATGGAGAATTATCACAATTCTTTTAATGTTGTTGTTGTTATGTGCCGTTGAATCACTTGCAACTCACAACGACCCTATGTACAACAGCTCTGAAACCTGCTCTATCTTGAGACAATCTCATTGTTTCTGACACACCTACGCCCATTTCTTCAGTCCATTAATATTGCTTTCCTTTCCAAATACTTATCTGTTTGAGGCCAGATATTTCTCATACCTTCAAACAAATGTACATATAGCAACACATTGAGCAAAGCATCCAGCTGTCTTCTTTTTTTAAATTATTATTAAATTTTATTAGTTTTAGTGAACATTTACAGAGATTTTGGGTTTTCATTCATTCACTGTTGCACTGTTTTCTCTACCCTCCTCCCCAGTTCGTTCTTCTCCCCCCGCCCCAAATGTCTGTTTTAATTGTCCAATTGCCACAGTGCTTGTCGAAGCCAGTTCTGATTAATCTCCTTTGTCAGTGTGTCCTTTGCCATTCCCTATCTCTCCTCCCTGAGAGAGACTTTACCCTGATTCATAAGGAAAAGGGGATGGCGTATTCTCTTAGCTACTTCCTGCTGAAAAGGGACACTGTCAGTTTCAGGGTGAAGATCTTCTCTCACTACTCTAAAGGGCCCCTTTGGCAGTAGGAAACACATAGACTATTATGGAGATTGATTTTGGAATTTAGATGCACTGTTATCAATTGTGCTTAGCCGTACATGTTCATATCCTTGAAGATGTGTCTTCTTTTTATGCCATGGATTAAAGAGATTTGTAAACAATGTGACAAAACACCACTTTTTTCAGTAATGTGTCCTATATTAATTTTCATTTTAAATATGTTCATTTCCATTGATTTATTATTACTAGAAGGAGAATTGATGCTTTTGAGCTGTGGGGCTGAAGAAGAGTATTGAATATACCGTGGACTGCTAGGAGAACAAATAGGCTCATCCTGGAGAGGCTTAAACCAGGCTGCTCCTTGGAGGCAAGGATTCTGGGGCTTCGTCTGACATACTTTGGACATGTCACAAGGAGGGACCAGTCCTTGGAGAGGGACGTCATGCTTGGGAGGGTGGTGGGACAGTGCAAGAGAGGAAGACCCTCAATGAGATGGATTGATTCAGTAATTGGGGTAATGGGGGTAGGTGTGTCAGAGACAATAAGATTGGCACAGGATAGAGCAAGCTTTATGGCTGTTGTACAGTGGGGTCACTGTGAGTCGTAGATGACTCAATGGCACATAACAACAACAACAACAACATCACTAACTTAACAAATATTTTTCATTTTTGTCTTCATTTCTAACATGGTCAACAGTTACAGATATAAACCATATACACAAAAGTTCTTCGAAATACTCAATAATTTTGGAGTGTAAAGGGGTCATGGGTCATACAATGGTAGATTGCTCACCTCCTAGGCAGGAGACCTGGGTTTAATTCCCTGCTAATACACTTTATGCACAATCAGTTCTTACCTGTCAATGGAGATTTGTACATGCTACAGGGCTAAATCAGTTTCAGTGGAGCTTTCAGACTAAGATGAACAAGAAAGATATACCTGAAGGTCTACTTCTAGAAATCTATCAAACTCACTGTTTCATTCTCTAAGCGAGGGGTCACCAGAGTTGGGGGCTGACAAGATGGCAACTAGCAATAGCAACACTCCTTCCCATTCCCACTGAGTCAATTTCATCCCAAAGTGACCCTGTAGGACAGACTAGAAGGGCTCTATGGGGTTTCTAAGGCTTTATGGAAGCCGACTACCACATCTTTCT